TAACATTTAAACATTCTGCCATACAATGTAACAGTGCTACATTTAAACTATCTGCCATACAATGTAACAGTGTTAACATTTAAACATTCTGCCATACAATGTAACAGTGTTAACATTTAAACATTCTGCCATACAATGTAACAGTGTTAACATTTAAACATTCTGCCATACAATGTAACAGTGTTAACATTTAAACATTCTGCCATACAATGTAACAGTGTTAACATTTAAACATTCTGCCATACAATGTAACAGTGTTAACATTTAAACATTCTGCCATACAATGTAACAGTGTTAACATTTAAACATTCTGCCATACAATGTAACAGTGTTAACATTTAAACATTCTGCCATACAATGTAACAGTGTTAACATTTAAACATTCTGCCATACAATGTAACAGTGTTAACATTTAAACATTCTGCCATACAATGTAACAGTGTTAACATTTAAACATTCTGCCATACAATGTAACAGTGTTAACATTTAAACATTCTGCCATACAATGTAACAGTGTTAACATTTAAACATTCTGCCATACAATGTAACAGTGTTAACATTTAAACATTCTGCCATACAATGTAACAGTGTTAACATTTAAACATTCTGCCATACAATGTAACAGTGTTAACATTTAAACATTCTGCCATACAATGTAACAGTGTTAACATTTAAACATTCTGCCATACAATGTAACAGTGTTAACATTTAAACATTCTGCCATACAATGTAACCGTGTTAACATTTAAACATTCTGCCATACAATGAAGCAAAGTTAACATTTAAACATTCTGCCATACAATGTAACATAGTAAACATTTAAACATTCTGCCATACAATGTAACAAAGTTAACATTTAAACATTCTGCCATACAATGTAACAGTGTTAACATTTAAACATTATGCCATACAATGTAACATAGTTAACATTTAAACATTCTGAAATACAATGTAACAGTGTTAACATTTAAACATTCTGCCATACAATGAAACAAAGTTAACATTTAAACATTCTGCCATACACTGTAACAGTGTTAACATTTAAACATTATGCCATACAATGTAACAGTGTTACATTTAAACATTATGCCATACAATGTAACACATTTAACATTTAAACATTCTGCCATACAATGTAACAGTGTTAACATTTAAACATTCTGCCATACAATGAAATAGTGTTTACATTTAAACATTCTGCCATACAATGTAACAGAGTTAACATTTAAACATTCTGCCATACAATGTAACAGTGTGAACATTTAAAGATTCTGCCATACAATGTAACAGTGTTACATTTAAACATTCTGCCTTACAATGTAACAGTGAAAACATTAAAACATTCTGCCATACAATGTAACAGTGTTAACATTTAAACATAATGCTATACAATGTAACAGTATTCCATTTAAACAATCTGCCATACAATGTAACAGTGTTACATTTAAACATTATGCCATAGAATGTAACAGAGGTAACATTTCAACATTCTGCCATACAATGTAACATTGTTAACATTTCAACATTCTGCCATACAATGTAACAGTGTTAATATTTAAAGATTCTGCCATACAATCTAACATTGTTAACATTTCAAAATTCTGCCATACAATGTACCATCGTTAACATTTAAACATAATGCTATACAATGTAACAGTATTCCATTTAAACAATCTGCCATACAATGTTACATTGTACGGCAGAATGTTGAAATGTTACCTCTGTTACATTGTATGACAGAATGTTTAAATGTAACAGTGTTAACATTTAAAAATTCTGCCATACAATGTTACAGTGTTACATTTGAACATTATGCCATACAATGTAACATAGTTAACATTTAAACATTCTGCCATACAATGTAACAGTGTTACATTTAAACATTCTGGTATACAATGTAACAGTGTTAACATTTAAACATTCTGCCATACAATGTAACATTGTTAACATTTCAACATTCTGCCATACAATGTAACAAAGTTAACATCTAAACATTATGCCATACAATGTAACGGTGTTAGCATTTAAACATTATGCCATACAATGTAACGGTGTTAGCATTTAAACATTATGCCATACAAAGTAACAGGGTTAACATTTAAACATTATGCCATACAATGTAACTTAGTTAACATTTAAACATTCTGCCATACAATGTAACAGTGTTACATTTAAACATTCTGCCATACAATGTAACAAAGTTAACCTTTAAACATTATGCCATACAATGTAACAGTGTTAACATTTGAACATTCTGCCAAACAATGTAACAGTGTTGCATTTAAACATTATGCCATACAATGTAACAGTGTTAACATTTAAACATTATGCCATACAATGTAACAGTATTCCATTTAAACATTCTGCCATACAATGTAACAGTGTTACATTTAAACATTATGCCATACAATGTAACAGAGGTAACGTTTAAACATTCTGCCATACAATGTAACAGTGTTAACATTTAAACATTCTGCCATTCAATGTAACAATGTTACATTTAAACATTATGCCATACGATGTAACATAGTAAACATTTAAACATTCTGCCATACAATGTAACATAGTTAACATTTAAACATTCTGCCATACAATGTAACAGAGTTAACATTTAAACATTCTGCCATACAATATAACAGTGTTATCATTTAAACATATTGCCATACAATGTAACAGAGTTAACATTTAAACATTCTGCCATACAATGTGACAGTGTTACATTTAAACATTCTGCCATACAATATAACAGTGGTATCATTTAAACATATTGCCATAAAATGTAACAGAGTTAACATTTAAACATTCTTCCATACAATATAACAGTGTTATCATTTAAACATATTGCCATAAAATGTAACAGAGTTAACATTTAAACATTCAGCCATACAATGTAACAGAGTTAATATTTAAACATTCTGACTTACAATTAAATAGTGCTTGCATTTAAACATTCTGCCATACAATGTAACAGAGTTAAAATTTAAACATTCTGCCATACAATGTAACAGTGTTAACATTTAAACATTTTGCCATACAATGTAACAGAGTTAAAATTTAAACATTCTGCCATACAATGTAACAGTGTTACATTTAAACATTCTGCCTGACAATGTAACAGTGTTAACATTTAAACATTCTGCCATACAATGTAACAGTATTCCATTTAAACAATCTGCCATACAATGTAACAGTGTTACATTTAAACATTATGGCATACAATGTAACAGAGGTAACATTTCAACATTCTGCCATACAATGTAACAGTGTTAACATTTAAACATTCTGCCATACAATGTAACAGAGTTATAATTTATTTAAATATTCTGCCATACAATGTAACAGTGTTACATTTAAACATTCTGCCATACAAGGTAACATAGTTAACATTTAAACATTCTGCCATACAATGTAACAGAGTTATAATTTATTTAAATATTCTGCCATACAATGTAACAGTGTTACATTTAAACATTATGCCATACCATGTAACAGTGTTAACATTTAAACATTCTGCAATACAATGTAACATAGTTAACATTTAAACATTCTGCCATACAATGTAACAGAGTTATATTTTATGTAAACATTCTGCCATACAATGTAACAGTGTTATAGTTTATGTAAACATTATGCCATACAATATAACAGTGTTATAATTTATTTAAACATGATGCCATACAATGTAACAATGTTATAATTAATTTAAACATTATGCCAAGCAATGTAACAGTGTTAGTTTAATGTATACCATAATGCAATGTACAATGTAATAATACTATTTTGGTAGATACCGTCATACAAAGTAAGTGTTAACTTCTATATACATGTATATTGTCATACAGTGTTCCCTTTTTATATATCACCATACAATTTAGTATTGTTAAATATACTGACATACAAGATATCGTTGTTAAACCGTTTCAATGATGTTTACAGTGTATGGGTTGGTCGTGGTACCTGGCCAATGATATGCAGTTTTATGTGGTGAGCCCTCTCCTTCTGGTGCCCCTTTACTTGTAAGTATGATGTGAGCTCTCTCCTTCTGGTACCCCTTTACTTTTAAGTATGATGTGTCTCCCTCTGGTGCCCCTTTACTTGTAAGTATGATGTGAGCTCTCTCCTTCTTGTGCCCCTTTACTTGTAAGTATGATGTGAGACCTCTCCTTCTGGTGACTCTTTACTTGTAAGTATGGTGTGAGACCTCTCCTTCTGGTAACTCTTTACTTGTAAGTATGATGTGAGCTCTCTCCTTCTGATGCCCCGTTACCTGTAAGTATGATGTGAGACCTCTCCTTCTGGTGCCCCTTTACTTATGATGTGTCTCCCTCTGGTGCCCCTTTACTTGTAAGGATGATGTGAGACCTCTCCTTCTGGTGACTTTTTACTTGTAAGTATGATATGAGCCCTCTCCTTCTGGTGCCCCTTTACTTGTAAGTACGATGTGAGCTCGCTCCTGGTGCTCCTTTACCTGTAAGTATGATGTGGGCTCTCTCCTTCTGGTGACTCTTTACTTGTAAGTATGGTGTGAGAACTCTCCTTCTGGTAACTCTTTACTTGTAAGTATGATGTGAGCCCTCTTCTTCTTGTGACTCTTTACTTGTAAATATGATGTATGTGAGACTTCTCCTTCTGGTGACTTTTTACTTGTAATTATGATGTGAGCTCTCTCCTTCTGGTGCCCCTTTACTTGTAAGTATGGTGTCGGCTGTCTCCTTCTGGTTACTCTTTACTTGTAAGTATGATGTGAGCTCTCTCCTTCTGGTTCCCCTTTACTTTTAAGTATGATGTGTCTCCCTCTGGTGCCCCTTTACTTGTAAGGATGATGTGAGACCTCTCCTTCTGGTGACTTTTTACTTGTAAGTATGATGTGATACCTCTCCTTCTGGTGACTTTTTACTTGTAAGTGTGATGTGATACCTCTCCTTCTGGTGACTCTTTACTTGTAAGTATGATGTGAGTTCTCTCTTCTGGTGCCCCTTTACTTGTAAGTATGATGTGAGCCCTCTCCTTCTTGTGACTCTTTACTTGTAAGTATGATGTGAGACTTCTCCTTCTGGTGACTTTTTACTTGTAAGTATAAAATGAGTCCTCTCCTTCTTGTGCCCCTTTACTTGTAAGTACGATGTGAGCTCACTCCTGGTGCTCCTTTACCTGTCAGTATGATGTGGGCTCTCTCCTTCTGGTGACTCTTTACTTGTAAGTATGGTGTGAGACCTCTCCTTCTGGTAACTCTTTACTTGTAAGTATGATGTGAGCCCTCTCCTTCTGGTGCGCCTTTACTTGTAAGTATGATGTGAGCTCTCTCCTTATGGGATGTGAGACTTCTCCTTCTGGTGACTTTTTACTTGTAATTATGATGTGAGCTCTCTCCTTCTGGTGCCCCTTTACTTGTAAGTATGGTGTCGGCTGTCTCCTTCTGGTTACTCTTTACTTGTAAGTATGATGTGAGCTCTCTCCTTCTTGTGCCCCTTTACTTGTAAGTATGATGTGAGACCTCTCCTTCTGGTAACTCTTTACTTGTAAGTATGATGTGAGCCCTCTTCTTCTTGTGACTCTTTACTTGTAAATATGATGTATGTGAGACTTCTCCTTCTGGTGACTTTTTACTTGTAATTATGATGTGAGCTCTCTCCTTCTGGTGCCCCTTTACTTGTAAGTAAGATGTGAGCTCACTCCTGGTGCTCCTTTACCTGTAAGTATGATGTGGGCTATCTCCTTCTGGTGACTCTTTACTTGTAAGTATGATGTGAGACTCCTCCTTCTGGTGACTTTTTACTTGTAAGTATGATATGAGACCTCTCCTTCTGGTGACTCTTTACTTGTAAGTATGGTGTGAGACCTCTCCTTCTGGTAACTCTTTACTTGTAAGTATGATGTGAGCTCTCTCCTTATGGGATGTGAGACTTCTCCTTCTGGTGACTTTTTACTTGTAATTATGATGTGAGCTCTCTCCTTCTGGTGCCCCTTTACTTGTAAGTAAGATGTGAGCTCACTCCTGGTGCTCCTTTACCTGTAAGTATGATGTGGGCTCTCTCCTTCTAGTGACTCTTTACTTGTAAGTATGATGTGAGCTCTTTCCTTCTGGTTACTCTTTACTTGTAAGTATGATGTGAGCTCTCTCCTTATGGGATGTGAGACTTCTCCTTCTGGTGACTTTTTACTTGTAATTATGATGTGAGCTCTCTCCTTCTGGTGCCCCTTTACTTGTAAGTATGATGCGAGACCTCTCCTTCTGGTGACTTTTTACTTGTAAGTGTGATGTGATACCTCTCCTTCTGGTGACTCTTTACTTGTAAGTATGATGTGAGACTTCTCCTTCTGGTGACTTTTTACTTGTAAGTATGATATGAGTCCTCTCCTTCTGGTGCCCCTTTACTTGTAAGTACGATGTGAGCTCACTCCTGGTGCTCCTTTACCTGTAAGTATGATGTGGGCTCTCTCCTTCTGGTGACTCTTTACTTGTAAGTATGATGTGAGCTCTCTCCTTCTGATGCCCCGTTACCTGTAAGTATGATGTGAGACCTCTCCTTCTGGTGACTTTTTACTTGTAAGTATAATGTGAGCTCTCTTCTTCTGGTGACTTTTTACTTGTAAGTATGATTTGTAAGTATGATGTGAGCTCTCTCCTTCTGGTGACTTTTTACTTGTAAGTATGATGTGAGCTCTCTTCTTCTGGTGACTTTTTACTTGTAAGTATGATGTGGGCTCTCTCTTTCTGGTGCCCCTTTACTTGTAAGTATGTTGTGAGACCTCTCCTTCTGGTGACTCTTTACTTGTAAGTATGATGTGAGCTCTCTCTTTCTGGTGCCCCTTTACTTGTAAGTATGATGTGAGCTCTCTTCTTCTGGTGCCCCTTTACTTGTAAGTATGATGTGAGACCTCTCCTTCTGGTGCCCCTTTACTTGTAAGTAAGATGTGAGCTCTCTCCTTCTGGTGCCACTTTACTTGTAAGTATGATGTGAGCCGTCTCCTTCTGGTGCCACTTTACTTGTTAGTATGATGTGAGCTCTCTCCTTCTGGTGCCCCTTTACTTGTAAGTATGATGTGAGACCTCTCCTTCTGGTGCCCCTTTACTTGTAAGTATGATGTGAGCTCTCTCCTTCTGGTGACTCTTTACTTGTAAGTATGATGTGAGCTCTCTCCTTCTTGTGCCCCTTTACTTGTAAGTATGATGTGAGACCTCTCCTTCTGGTGCCCCTTTACTTGTAAGTATGATGTGAGCTCTCTCCTTCTGGTGACTCTTTACTTGTAAGTATGATGTGAGCTCTCTCCTTCTGGTGACTCTTTACTTGTAAGTATGATGTGGGCTCTCTCCTTCTGGTGACTCTTTACTTGTAAGTATGATGTGAGCTCTCTCCTTCTGGTGACTCTTTACTTGTAAGTATGATGTGAGCTCTCTCCTTCTGGTGACTCTTTACTTGTAAGTATGATGTGAGCTCTCTCCTTCTGGTGACTCTTTACTTGTAAGTATGATGTGAGCTCTCTCCTTCTGGTGACTCTTTACTTGTAAGTATGATGTGAGCTCTCTCCTTCTGGTGACTCTTTACTTGTAAGTATGATGTGAGCTCTCTCCTTCTGGTGACTCTTTACTTGTAAGTATGATGTGAGCTCTCTCCTTCTGGTGACTCTTTACTTGTAAGTATGATGTGAGCTCTCTCCTTCTGGTGACTCTTTACTTGTAAGTATGATGTGAGCTCTCTCCTTCTGGTGACTCTTTACTTGTAAGTATGATGTGAGCTCTCTCCTTCTGGTGACTCTTTACTTGTAAGTATGATGTGAGCTCTCTCCTTCTGGTGACTCTTTACTTGTAAGTATGATGTGAGCTCTCTCCTTCTGGTGACTCTTTACTTGTAAGTATGATGTGAGCTCTCTCCTTCTGGTGACTCTTTACTTGTAAGTATGATGTGAGCTCTCTCCTTCTGGTGACTCTTTACTTGTAAGTATGATGTGAGCTCTCTCCTTCTGGTGACTCTTTACTTGTAAGTATGATGTGAGCTCTCTCCTTCTGGTGACTCTTTACTTGTAAGTATGATGTGAGCTCTCTCCTTCTGGTGACTCTTTACTTGTAAGTATGATGTGAGCTCTCTCCTTCTGGTGACTCTTTACTTGTAAGTATGATGTGAGCCCTCTCCTTCTTGTGACTCTTTACTTGTAAGTATGATGTGAGACTTCTCCTTCTTGTGACTCTTTACTTGTAAGTAAGATGTGAGTCCTCTCCTTCTTGTGACTCTTTACTTGTAAGTGTATGATGTGAGCTCTCTCCTTCTGGTGACTCTTTACTTGTAAGTATGATGTGAGCCCTCTCCTTCTTGTGACTCTTTACTTGTAAGTAAGATGTGAGTCCTCTCCTTCTTGTGACTCTTTACTTGTAAGTGTATGATGTGAGCTCTCTCCTTCTGGTGACTCTTTACTTGTAAGTATGATGTGAGCCCTCTCCTTCTTGTGACTCTTTACTTGTAAGTAAGATGTGAGTCCTCTCCTTCTTGTGACTCTTTACTTGTAAGTGTATGATGTGAGCTCTCTCCTTCTGGTGACTCTTTACTTGTAAGTATGATGTGAGCCCTCTCCTTCTTGTGACTCTTTACTTGTAAGTAAGATGTGAGTCCTCTCCTTCTTGTGACTCTTTACTTGTAAGTGTATGATGTGAGCTCTCTCCTTCTGGTGCCCCTTTACTTGTAAGTATGATGCGAGCCCTCTCCTTCTGGTACCCCTTTACTTGTAAGTATGATGTGAGCTCTCTCCTTCTGGTGCCCCTTTAGTTGTAAGTATGATGCGAGCCCTCTCCTTCCGGTGCCCCTTTACTTGTAAGTATGATGTGAGCTCTTTCCTTCTGGTACCCCTTTACTTGTAAGTATGATGTGAGCTATCTCCTTCTGGTGCTCCTTAACTTGCAAGTAAATTATTTACATGGATATTCTCCGTCTTTCGTTTTATCATCATAAATGAACATGTTGTCATGCTTGTTTTATATTCGTTTAAATCAAATGTTGATTTTGAAATCATATAATAAATCGAACCTACATCCTGATCCGCTACAAAAGCTAGGTCCATTCACTCTCTCAAAGGTACATCCAGGTAGTGGCAACGCAACCACAAGGTACACCTATAAGTATAATTTTATAAAGACGATTTTTTTATATCGCGCATTGAAGTTGTTATGTCGCCCATATTCTTCATCAAGGCATATTTCTCAAAACCTTGTGTTGTACATTTGTCAGCATTTAAAATATATCATTAGTAATCATGACTACCAGATATTCGGAGCTAGCCCATTAAAACAGTAGGTGAGGGAAGCAGGAATTGGTGCTATTTAAAAAGGCAAAATTCACTATTGAAACATCAAAACTGTCATACTTACCTAACAGCATACTTGTCAGCTGTTCCTGTCGGTCATGTTGAAAGTCAAGACCGAAGTAAATGGTTCATACAAAAGTGTGTATAGTGTCCTTGAATTCAAGTATAGGAGAATATAAACGACCATGATTTATATTTATTAATTATTTAAAGACAAACAAATCTTCAAAATAGGCTATCTGAAGGCGAAATTCTTTTGTCGTATTATTAAAAAAATATGCTCCAAAATATATTTATAAATTGTAGTTCATTATCATATATTTGTCTTGGTGCAAGCTGACTCCGTCTCGATCATTAACAAGTCTATCCCTGGTAGTGACATAGTAGCCCCTCCTCGCTCGATCATTAACATGTCTATCCCTGGTAGTGACATAGTAGCCCCTCCTCGCTCGATCGTTAACATTTCTATCCCTGGTAGTGGCATAGTAGCTCCTCCTCCCTCGATCATTAACATTTCTATCCCTGGTAGTGACATAGTAGCCCCTCCTCCCTCGATCATTAACATATCTATCCCTGGTAGTGACATAGTAACCCCTCCTCCCCGATCATTTACATTTCTATCCCTGGTAGTGACATAGTAGTCTCTCCTCCCTCGATCATTAACATGTCTATCCCTGGTAGTGAAATAGTAGTCCCTCCTCCCCGATCATTAACATTTCTATCCCTGGTAGTGACATAGTAGCCCCTCCTCCCTCGATCATAAACATGTCTATCCCTGGTAGTGACATAGTAGCCCTTCCTCCCCGATCATTAACATTTCTATCCCTGGTAGTGACATAGTAGTCTCTCCTCCCTCGATCATTAACATGTCTATCCCCGGTAGTGACTTACAAAATGTAGTAGTCCCTCCTCCCTCGATCATTAACATGTCTATCCCCGGTAGTGACTTACAAAATGTAGTAGTCCCTCCTCCCTCGATCATTAACATGTCTATCCCCGGTAGTGACTTAGTAGCCCCTCCTCCCTCGATCATTAACATATCTATCCCTGGTAGTTACATAGTAACCCCTCCTCCCCGATCATTTACATTTCTATCCCTGGTAGTGACATAGTAGCCCCTCCTCGCTCGATCGTTAACATTTCTTTCCCTGGTAGTGACATAGTAGCCCCTCCTCCCCGATCGTTAACATTTCTATCCCTGGTAGTGACAAAGTAGCCCCTCCTCGCTCGATCATTGACATTTCTATCCCTGGTAGTGACAAAGTAGTTATTACTCCCTCGATCATTAACATTTCTGTCCCCGGTAGTGACACTGAAGTCCCTCCTACCTCGAACATTAACATGTCTATCCCCGGTAGTGACATAGTAGCCCCTCTTCCCTCGATCATTAACATTTCTGTCCCCGGTAGTGAAACTGAAGTCCCTCCTCCCTCGATCATTAACATGTCTATCCCCGGTAGTGACTAGGTAGCCCCTCCTCCCTCGATCATTAACATGTCTATCCCCGGTAGTGACATAGTAGCCCCTCTTCCCTCGATCATTAACATTTCTGTCCCCGGTAGTGAAACTGAAGTCCCTCCTACCTCGAACATTAACATGTCTATCCCCGGTAGTGACATAGTAGCCCCTCTTCCCTCGATCATTAACATTTCTGTCCCCGGTAGTGAAACTGAAGTCCCTCCTCCCTCGATCATTAACATGTCTATCCCCGGTTGTGACTAAGTAGCCCCTCCTCCCTCGATCATTAACATTTCTATCCCTGGTAGTGACATAGTAGCCCCTCCTACCTCGATCATTAACATGTCTATCCCCGGTAGTGACATAGTAGCCCCTCTTCCCTCGATCATTAACATTTCTGTCCCCGGTAGTGAAACTGAAGTCCCTCCTCCCTCGATCATTAACATGTCTATCCCCGGTTGTGACTAAGTAGCCCCTCCTCCCTCGATCATTAACATTTCTATCCCCGGTAGTGACTTAGTAGCCCCCCCTCCCTCGATCATTAACATGTCTATCCCCGGTTGTGACTAAGTAGCCCCTCCTCCCTCGATCATTAACATGTCTATCCCCGGTAGTGACTAAGTAGCCCCTCCTCCCTCGATGATTAACATGTCTATCCCTGGTAGTGACACCGAAGTCCCTCCTCCCTCGATCGTTAACATTTCTTTCCCTGGTAGTGACATAGTAGCCCCTCCTCCCCGATCATTAACATTTCTATCCCTGGTAGTGACATAGTAGCCCCTCCTACCTCGACCATTAACAGTTCTATCCCTGTTAGTGACACAGTAGCCCCTCCCCCTCGATCATTAACATTACTATTCCTAGAAGTGACACAGTAGCCCTCCTCCTTGTGAAGTTAAATGCGTTATCCTAGAGCCTGTTTTGAAACTCAAAGATGTCCGTTTCTACCATAAAAAAACCCATTGTGATCAAGGTTGTTATTTACATCAAAAAAACTCTGGATTTGACGGATTCATCCTGAAGGGAAGCATCCTCAAGTAAATCATCCTGAAGGGAAGCATCCTGAAGTAGACATCCTGAAGAAAAACATCCTTATGAGTTAGCAATTGTATGATGATGATGTGGTAGACATTCGATCTACATCGGTATATGTAATGCGTCGGTATATTTAATACGTCGGTATATGTTGTGCGTCGGTATATGTAATACGTCGGTATATGTAATGCGTCGGTATATGTAATGCGTCGGTATATCTGATTTATCGGTATATTTAAAACGTGATTATATGTAATTCGTCGGTATTTGGGATTCGTCGGTATATGGGATTAGTCGGTATAATTTGCACGTCGGTATATGTAATGCGTCGGTATATGAAATACTTCGGTAAATGTAATACGTCGGTATATGCTTTACGTGGTATATATGTGATACGACGGTATATGTAATACGTCGGTATATGCTTTACGTGGAATATATGTGATACGACGGTATATGTAATACGTCGGTATATGTAATAAATCGGTACATGTAATACGACGGTATATGTAATACGTCGGTATATGCTATGCGTGGTATATATGTGATACGACGGTATATGTAATACGTCGGTATATGCTCTACGTGGTATATATGAAATACTTCGGTAAATGTTATACGTCGGTATATGCTTTACGTGGTATATATGTGATACGACGGTATATGTAATGCGTCGGTATATGTAATACTTCGGTATATGTAATACGTCGGTATATGCTTTACGTGGTATATATGTTATACGACGGTATATGTAATACGTCGGTATATGCTATACGTGGTATATATGTGATACGACGGTATATGTTATACGTCGGTATATGTAATAAATCGGTACATGTAATACGTCGGTATGCGTAATTCGTCGTTACATGTAATATGTCGGTATGTGTTATACGTTAGTATATGTAATACTTCGGTATATGTAATACATCGGTATGCGTAAAACGTTGGTATATGTAATACATCTGTATATGTAATACGTCGGTATATTTAATACGTCGGTATACTTGATATGTCGGTATATGCAATACGTCGGTATATGTAGTACGTTGGTATATGTAATGCGTCGGTATATGTGATACGTCGGTATATGTGAAACGTCGGAATATGTAATACGTCGGTATATTTCAGACGTTTTATTTCATTGTTGCAGCTCCAAAAATATCGGATTATTTGTCAATTTTTTGGCCTTATTGGGGATCACCATAGCAACGGGAGTGGTATCCACACATTACGAGCTGAATGCATCCATGTTAAGCGTCAATCCTGCAAAAATGGTGTAAGTAGATGTATTTTCTTGTTTGCATTCAATTTATTTTATTGAAATCTATTTGAAATATGATGTAACTTTCTCGTTGAGAAGGCCTTTTTAACAAACCTCATGGTGTTTCCTCACCAACTGAACATTGTCTGAACATTGTCGGATAGGCCTTGGTGTTTCTGTGCACGTTATTTAGTTATATGCTTTAAATGAAATGTCTACTTTGTTAATGTGATATAGATAGGATTTTTTTCACTTTTCAGAGAAGGCCAAACTCATTACTTTTACGACTATTACATCATTCCCTGGTGCCGCATGGGGCCGTATATTGTCGGCATAGTAACCGGCTCTATTCTGTACCGGACCAACTGCAATTACAAGATACCAAAGGTAGGGAATGATACAGGACAGATATTGATGTACATCGTATGATAAAGGACAGATATTGATGTACATCATGTGATATAGGACAGATATTGATATACATCGTATGATAAAGGACAGATATTGATGTACATCATATAATACAGGACAGATATTGATGTACCTCATATGATATAGGACAGATATTGATGTACATCGTATGATAAAGGACAGATATTGATGTACATCATATAATACAGGACAGATATTGATGTACATGTTATGATATAGGACAGATATTGATGTATATCGTATGATATAGGACAGATATTGATGTACATCGTATGATAAAGGACAGATATTGATATACATCGTATGATAAAGGACAGATATTGATGTGCATCATATAATACAGGAAAGATATTGATGTACCTCATATGAAATAGGACAGATATTGATGTACATCGTATGATAAAGGACAGATATTGATGTACATCATATAATACAGGACAGATATTGATGTACATCGTATGATATAGGACAGATATTGATGTACATCATATAATACGGGACAGATATTGATGTACATCATATGGTATAGGACAGATATTGATGTACATCGTATGATATAGGACAGATATTGATGTACATCATATAATACGGGACAGATATTGATGTACATCATATGGTATAGGACAGATATTGATGTATATCATATGGTATAGGACAGATATTGATGTACATCATATGATATAGGACAGATATTGATGTACATCATATAATACGGGACAGATATTGATGTACATCATATGGTATAGGACAGATATTGATGTACATCGTATGATATAGGACAGATATTGATGTACATCATATAATACGGGACAGATATTGATGTATATCATATGGTATAGGACAGATATTGATGTACATCGTATGATATAGGACAGATATTGATGTACATCATATAATACGGGACAGATATTGATGTACATCATATGGTATAGGACAGATATTGATGTATATCATATGGTATAGGACAGATATTGATGTACATCATATGATATAGGACAGATATTGATGTACATCATATAATACGGGACAGATATTGATGTACATCATATGGTATAGGACAGATATTGATGTACATCGTATGATATAGGACAGATATTGATGTACATCATATAATACGGGACAGATATTGATGTACATCATATGGTATAGGACAGATATTGATGTATATCATATGGTATAGGACAGATATTGATGTACATCATATGATATAGGACAGATATTGATGTACATCATATAATACGGGACAGATATTGATGTACATCATATGGTATAGGACAGATATTGATGTACATCGTATGATATAGGACAGATATTGATGTACATCATATAATACGGGACAGATATTGATGTATATCATATGGTATAGGACAGATATTGATGTACATCGTATGATATAGGACAGATATTGATGTACATCATATAATACGGGACAGATATTGATGTACATCATATGGTATAGGACAGATATTGATGTATATCATATGGTATAGGACAGATATTGATGTACATCATATGATATAGGACAGATATTGATGTACATCATATAATACGGGACAGATATTGATGTACATCATATGGTATAGGACAGATATTGATGTACATCGTATGATATAGGACAGATATTGATGTACATCATATAATACGGGACAGATATTGATGTACATCATATGGTATAGGACAGATATTGATGTATATCATATGGTATAGGACAGATATTGATGTACATCATATGATATAGGACAGATATTGATGTACATCATATAATACGGGACAGATATTGATGTACATCATATGGTATAGGACAGATATTGATGTACATCGTATGATATAGGACAGATATTGATGTACATCATATAATACGGGACAGATATTGATGTACATCATATGGTATAGGACAGATATTGATGTATATCATATGGTATAGGACAGATATTGATGTACATCATATGATATAGGACAGATATTGATGTACATCATATAATACGGGACAGATATTGATGTACATCATATGGTATAGGACAGATATTGATGTACATCGTATGATATAGGACAGATATTGATGTACATCATATAATACGGGACAGATATTGATGTACATCATATGGTATAGGACAGATATTGATGTATATCATATGGTATAGGACAGATATTGATGTACATCATATGATATAGGACAGATATTGATGTACATCATATAATACGGGACAGATATTGATGTACATCATATGGTATAGGACAGATATTGATGTACATCGTATGATATAGGACAGATATTGATGTACATCATATAATACGGGACAGATATTGATGTATATCATATGGTATAGGACAGATATTGATGTACATCATATGATATGGGACAGATATTGATGTACATCATATAATACGGGACAGATATTGATGTATATCATATGGTATAGGACAGATATTGATGTACATCATATGATATAGGACAGATATTGATGTACATCATATAATACGGGACAGATATTGATGTACATCATATGGTATAGGACAGATATTGATGTACATCGTATGATATAGGACAGATATTGATGTACATCATATAATACGGGACAGATATTGATGTATATCATATGGTATAGGACAGATATTGATGTACATCATATGATATAGGACAGATATTGATGTACATCATATAATACGGGACAGATATTGATGAAAATCTTATGGTATAGGACAGATACTGATGTACATCGTATGATATAGGACAGATATTGATGTACA